TGGGCAATTGACTTTCGAAAAACGAGTCATAAAGTATTCCATAACGTGCACCAAGTGTTATAAAATAGTCCATTTACACGCCCTGCCACGAGATCATCAATACCGCGCGACAATCGAGATATAATCTGCAACATGCCGGTCCGACAAAGGGTCATTTCTCCGCAGTTACAATTCGTGACATAACACAGCGGCAAAAATTATTCGACAGCTAAAAATCTATAACGCACCACAACATGGAATTATCTTACAGTCAAAATTCGTGACCTATTACACAACATGGAATAATCCTGAAGTCTCGTGCCGCATCGCAGCATGGAATTATTATCTTCCAGTAAAGATTCGTGGCATTGGCGGCATGAAGTTATCATACACGTAAAATAGCACGTATCACAACAAAGCAATGATGCGTCAGCACAATGGAGCCATTTCATCAGAGCAAGAGTGTGTTATCTGTTAATGGCGCCCGTCTCTTGTATATGCAATTTCAAAGGACGGCGAATGTCGCGTTAAGATAAATCCGAAAGGAAAAATTTACTTGACGAAAACAATGAACAGCCGAAATTATCTCGGAATAAATAAATGTGCAGCGAGCAACGTCCGTGTGAAAAAACTCAAAATAATGTGTGTAAATAATGTGTCATTCCGTGATACGGAAAAATGGTTAGCGATCGAAGAAAAACAACTAGGAGAAATGCAGAATTCCTAAAGGAAAGCTAAATCAAAGAACAATTTGCAAGTTTTCTACAACGCTTACATTTATATAGTCGTAAAGCTAGGAACACTGCGAGTTTATATGGGAATACGCTCGAGTGACTAAACCAATTCGACGCGAGTTTTTTCACGAGATACCAAGAAGTAAGGAAAAAGCAAAAGCGTAGAACCTCTAAAATCTGGTCTCACGAGTACATATGAGAGAGTTCTCCGCTCCTATGCACGATAGTCTGGTTACATTATCCGCACCTAACGGACTTGCTGCAGGCTCTCCATAAGCTCACAGACAATGCTGCTGCCTCACTGCGGAATTCTAAAGGAAATGTCGCCATGTACTCGTACCAGAGTCCGCCTCAGGCGCTCTGTGGCGACGAGTGCATGCAAGCACCAAAGACTACCCGGAGGCAACGGTCAACACGGGTAGCATCTCGTCGCATCGTACTCCACTGGTTTGGAGAAGCTCGAGATTTGCACACGGAGACGGTAGCGGGCTCGTCGATGGCAAGATAACAGCCACCGTCGAGAAGGCAGTGCGTAACCCGGCGGCGTGAGGCTGCGGGCGATTCGAATTCCACTTTCAAGTCTCCGAACCGCCGTAATGATATCAGCTTTCAAACTCGCGGGGACGGGTAAGTCATTCAAGAGGTCCAATGAAGTAAGGAGCAGTTTGGCGAAAACCGAGTCTGGGTCGCATCTGTCTGCCTACCGAGAGATGAGACGCCTTTCAAGCGAATTGTCACAAATTTTTACAAAAGTGGGTACCAGGCGTGCGTGTTTCTGCATCGTCGTGACGGCGGTGGGTCGATTTCACGACCTGCAGACGTTCATTATATTCTTATAATATATTCTTTAATAGAATTTAGCGAATTAAAATGAGACGAGTAGCTGAAAAGCTGGTCAGAGTTAACGAGTTCTGCTCTTGAAACGCTATGTATATATGTAGGATAATTATGTATTCGACGGCATACGTATACACTTGCGTATCGTTATGCTAATTGCATTTGACGCATTCGGTTTGCCTTACTATTTAGACGCTTTCTGAAATTAAAATAGCGATTAATTCCGAAACGAATGGCATGGCAATCAGCATTCGCAACGTAAAGTACGCGTAGCCATGCACACGCTCGCAAAATGGCCACGCAGTAATACACGTATAAAGCAGGTTCTCGCCGCACACTTCACCATCGATATAGCAGTCGATGAATAGCTCTGCATATAGAAGTCATTCGCTTCGCCTAATGGTCAGTAATTGTCAATATATGCTGTGTGTGTTTTTTATCTGCGGAGAAGCGCATCGACCGGATATTTCCGCCGACGTTAGCGTGACGATGACGTAGCCGTCGCCGCCCGTCGGCGCAGGCGTCGTTTGTCGCACACAGAGACACTCACTTACCGTCTGTTAATCATGGCGATGTTTGGCTATTTATTAAAGCGTGTTTGCGCCGCCAGTCCAAACAATTCCCGCGCTCTTTGAAACGCGGCGTGGATGTTCTGCGTGCAGCGAGGCAAAACAAAAACGTCGGCTGGGTCGAAGAGTAACAAATAACGCTTCAGGGCAGAGCGAGCAAGAGAGCGAGAGAGACGGAGAGAGAGAAAGACGAAGAAAGAAAGAGACGGAGGGAGAGAGACGAAGGGGGAGAGCGAGACGGAGAGAGAGAGGGACGGAATGACAGTGAGAGACGTGAGGGGGAGGGGGATGGGGACAGTGGGCGAGAAAGCGAGAGAGAGAGAGATGGGGAAAGAGAGACGAAGGGGGAGAGACGAAGGGGGAGAGACGGAGTGAGACAGAGGGGAAATGGAGGTAGCGAGAGAGAGATAGAGAAAGAAAGAGAGATAGAGAGATAGAGAGAGAGAGAGAGAGAGAGAGGGGGGGGGAAAGGAGACAGAAATGGAGAGAGGTTGAGAGAAAACGGGTGGTAGAGAGAGCGAGCGAGAGAGAGAGAGATACTATAACAATGATAATGCGTACCTTTTCCTCGGGTATATAACTGGTTTTAATCGACCATCATTATATAGTCGCACATCTTAATGAGCGCGTATTTACCATGCATGTGCGGGATTTGTCTGAACATACGTAGAATGTGCACCTAAGCGTACGCGCGTCTCTACCACGCAAACAAACACGTCGAATCCAAACGGACACTGAAAGAACGACGAAGAAAATAAACACGCGATGCGCCTGAACTGTAAAACCTCATTCCGATTCGCGTGATAGAATTGTTAGGAGCAGGTCTCACTAAGGAGTGGCGCGGACGACGGCGGAGAGATACGCCGTCATTCTGTCGTGGCAGACACGACGGCCAGTAACTACTTCATCGGCTGCCATCGCTCTCCACGCCGGGATTAAGCCGCATGGCTGCGCGACGTGATTTCTTCAGTCGCTGGCGATACGTATATATATATATATATAGGCGCGGAGAGGAGATAATGGACGCTTAAAAGAAACTGCGTAACCTACGTTTCCGGCGATTCAGCAGGAGGGAAGGAAATGGAGAAATGGATAGATCAGCGAGTCGCCCCCCCCCCTTACTGCTCTTTTAACGAATTTCGCGTATAGCTGACGCAGTTATACTAGTCACACTGAAAAACAGAGATTTGTTCGTCGTTTTTTTGCGGACAATACGTGATGCGGTATACAGACGCGAATATTGCTCGCCTCTCTCGCACCTCTTTGTATCTCTATTCTCTCTATTCCTCTATTGCACTTTTGACTCGCGTGTGTACGACAATGGAATTCCCAACGACGTCACAAGAGAAGACACGTCACCGAGTATTATCGCTAAGAACTCTAGCTGGGAATGTGTACGTAAAGAAGGAGGCACCGTCGCCCAAGTATCGACGCATCGATGCACTGACACTTGTAACGTGAAAGACCTGCGTAGTAGTTTTTTTTCGTGAAATCTTGCGCACGCAGAATGCAGAGTAGAATTTTGCCAGTGCCGCATTCATCAGCTTAATGACGTCGGGTTTCAATCAGCAAACATCCAACAACAGACTCGGTTTGACTAATGAAACACTTGGCGCTAAAACAAGTGTCTTCGCTTCGTAGTCCTCATCCATGTAGGGATGATTCTCTATCACATATAGACACACACACACACACACGCACACGCACACACACACACACACGCACACACATAACACACACACACACACACACACCACACACACACACACACAACACAACACACACACACACACACACACACACACACACACACACACACGCGCGCGCGCGCGGACACACACACACCCATTCACTCAACAAGCGAACAGAAGCCAACGTCTTTACAAAGATGGTCTTATTCAAATAACCAAGAGCTATAATTGTGTCAGTGTGTGTCGTTTAGCTTAAGGAGAGCGTCTCCGTAGCGCGCGTTTTCGCGAGATCTCAAGGAAACGCGTTTAATTAAAAGGCTATTTAATTGGAAAATTCATTCCGTCGCATTTTCGCTTGCCTCCTCGAAATTAATAAATCTAGCCTTAAACAGAAGAGCTCGTCAATGACGTCACGCCGTCCCATGCACCTAACGAAGGTCATTGGCAGGTCAGTTCTTCTCGCAGAAACGCTTCGTATAATCGTAGCGACAATGAATAATAGGGCTTTAATTATAACCGACCATGGATGTGACACATAACAACGATGCAGTGCAACGCGATATGCTACGGTATAATGGTGACCACGGATACGTGCGTGACAGCTAGACTCGATGACTGTCAGATGACTATGAACGACGTGTATAGTCATTTCACATAGCGGGGGCATGCTATGTTTTCACAATTATTCTCCGATTCCTCTAATACTATGACAACACTGTACGATAGCCACGATCATTCGCCGCGCTACGGTATATATATATAGTTATGCGGCAAACGCTCATACAGCGACTTGCAGAAATCACACGATCACAGAAACGAGCCGAATACATCCGACCGCGGCGCGCCACGTCCGTAATGGAAGCTGCCTTTCCTCCTTTCCGCCTCAGTTGGTCCGCGCCCGCCTGATTGAAGACGCCATACGCCGTGCCTACGATGACATTATAGCACCTATGAGCGCAGTAATCATCGCTGCCATTACTCCGACTATACGCTGACAATGACCGTAGAATCACCGAATCTATGATCACCACAATCACGGCCCCGTCTCGGCGGACCCTTATACAAATAACAGCAGCCGCGACGCGAATAAAGTAGATTCCCGTCGGCCGATGGTGCTATTGATTCGCATTAAGAAAGCCGACAGAAAGCACACGTTGCTGCGATTATTGAGGCCACTCACATCGAAAATCATGTCAGGGTATATCATTCCCTAGTTTAGTTTTTATTGTTATCGGAGTTACTGTGAATCGTATTATTTTTCATGACGGCAAAAATACATATTATGCGTACATACTTATAAACATATTTTTACCGTGTATTTTATGACATAAACATGTTTTTGTGTGTGTGTGTGCGTCAGTGTGTTTGTCTTTCTTCGTGGGTGTGTGTGTGTGTGTGTGTGTGTGCGCGCCCGCGTGTGTGTGTGTTTGTGTGTGTCCGTGTCCGTAGGTCTGCCCACTTGGTTCTTGCGATGGCTTCATTTACTGCATTTCTTCTGCGAGTTGACTGATATATCGATTCGCGCGAAGCTTAGCGGGTTCAGTGTGACACCGTACAATGACAGCGATTTAAAATGAGCGCGTCTGCAGCCCACGCACACCGAGCTCAGCGGAAACGCCTCTTTCATTCGTTATTAAAAGTATTGATGAATATTTTTCTCGTCACAGAAACTCGTCGAGGATAAATACGCTGGGCACGGACTCTGAGAAAGACATCATCGACATGATACTCGGTCCAAATGCCAACTACGACAACAGGCTGCGACCCACGGGGGAGAACGGAACTGGTACGTGCATGCGTGCATGTGTGTGCAAGTGCGGGTGACATGTGCGCGTGTGTGCGTTTTTTTGTTTTTGTTTTTGTTTGTTTGTTTGTGTGTGCGCGTGTGTGTGTGCGTGTGTGTGTCTGTGTGTTGCGTTCGTGCGTCGGTGTGTGTGTGTGTGTGTGTGTGTGTGTGTGTGTGTGTACATGCATTAAAGTGTGCGTGCATGAGCACCATCTGTTCATAGTGTCGGGCGCATAATGAGCGATTTACTCTATAGCGTCTAGTTTACGTGCGCGTACGTGACTCTCCGTAGCATTTAAAGAATGATTATTTTATGTTTATCACGCGGCAGTATGCGCAAATATACAGACGAAACATTGCACTATTTCCCTGCACGAGTATAAAAGAGGAAAATGTTAATAATCTCATACGAATATTACAAAACAAAGTACGTTTTACTGCAGGCATTCCTGCTGTTAAAAAACAGATATTTTACTACAAGTAACATTTACATTTTCCTACACGATTATTAAACAAAATTTTTTCTTATACGATCACAAAGAAAATCCGCATATTTCAAACGGCGACGGAGGAGGGAATATTTGATCGTGTGGGCGAGTCAACAAAAGTTCAACTTCCTGGCAACAACGTCTATTAGTAGTCGTTAGTGCCGACGCACAGCAAAGCCGCGTCGTGGACTCCACTGTAATCACATATCCATAATGCCGCCAAAAACGCGAACAAGTCAAATTATTAATAAAATGGCGGCTTATCCGCCCTCTGAATACGAGAGAAGCCTTCTGCTAATGATGCGGCATTTCTTCCCGACGGAAACGTCAGCAAACGTTAAAGACGTCTTTACATATGTCGGTTTGTGCGCTTCACCGGAGTAGCTATCTGAAACTTTTACGTCAGAAAAAACTCGTTTCTGCGGAAATTTTATTGATAGTGACATTGTTTTCGTTGGCAAATTCTAATACAAGATGCGGCGCATGACGCAACCCGCGGGCAATAATCGAAGCGTATATCGTAATCGTATTAAGTGATTGACGTCGCTGTGAACTTAACTCAAGCTCAACGTGTGTCTACAAGTATGACGTAAGGCCCAGTGCTGGCATTATAAACCCAGAACACGACGAACCATTATTTTAACCCGGATTACATGCATACGCAGATTGTGCAATTACTGGATTACGCTACAATTGCTAGATTTGTGACACTTTGTAAAACTGAAAACTTTTTCTCAAGCATTTCAATGTTTTTACTTTTTTATAGCCGCTAGCTCGGCGTCTCCAGGCTACGTTAATGACGCAGATATTCGATTTTGTTATCAAGAGGTTGAGACATTCAAGACTTGTTCAGACATCAAACATGTATCTATATTGCTTTCAAAACGAATTTTCATGAGAACATAGCTGCGCGCGTACGTATATATATATATGCATTCGTCCGTGTGCGTGCGTAAGGCGCATGTTTGTTAGTTTTCGTGCATGCCTGTGTCTGTGCGTGTCCACGTACGTTCTGTTAAGGGGCCGCTGAAGATGCGTTCGCATCTACGCTCACATAGGAAAGCAGCAGTTCGTTTAGGGGATTTAGCACAGCGTACGTGCTGCTGCTGCTTATAAGTCGTCACACCCGCGCGACGCGTCAGCGTGTGCAAGTCAGCCGTCGTCAGCCATTACGTAATACGTACACTCCTGCGTTTAGCTTCCTGCACGGCGGAAACCTGAATGCATTTAAAAGTCATTTTATAGTTCCCACCTTCACTCGAGCTTTTCGTAAATGCAGCCATTAAACGTCCAGGCGATGCCGCGGAATAGATTAATGGCAGAGATGCGTCGCTGCAGCTACTCCTCGGCAATACTTTACCGGGATTAACTGCTGGACGCACGCAGCGCAGCCGCAGCTGCGATTGAGTGCGGGGGTGATTTAGTGCCGGTGACAGCTTCATTTATTGCCTCACGTACCTGATCCCGTACGCAGAACACAATGCGCCTGATACTATTACGCGAGCGTTAACATACTTAGTAGCAATGATCGGCATCAGTATCTCCCGGCCATCCCATCCCTTCTACTCTCTTTCACTTTCTCTCTCGTTCTTTCTCTCTCTCCCTCTCTCGCACGCGCGCGCTCTTTCACTCCGCCTTTCTCTCCCTCTTTCACTCTCTTGCACGCGTGTTCTCTAACTCTGCCTATCGATCTTCCTCTCCCTCTGTTTCTCTCTCATTCCCACTGTCTGTCTCTCTTTGTGTCTCGCTTATTCCCTTCCCCCATCATTCTCTCTTTATTTCTGTCTGTCTCTCTTGCTCGTTAGCTCTCTCTCTCTCTCTCTCTCTCTCTCGTGGTTCCCAGTGCCCAGCTCTACGTTTCTTCCCCCCTTCTCTCTCTCGCTTCTTTTCTGTCTTCCGTCTCTCGGTGTCCGTCTCTCCATCTACATTCACTTTCTCTCTCTCTCTCTCACACACACACACACACACACACACACACACACACACACACTCATGCACTTTACATGCCCCGCTACTATATCGCAGAAGCACGCGCACGCACATTTCGATGCTGGTGGAGTCACGTCTCAGGCAGCTGTCTCGCCATGAGAGCTGGGGAAAGTCGAAGCAAGCTAATGTGTGCAATCAACGCGGCCGTAATCCTGCCTTATTTAGGAGGGAGGGCACAATCAGAATTCCTAACCGTGTTTTTTCTCTCAAATTCTCACTCGCCGTGCTGAATGAGAAAATCTCAGTTTGTTTAAGTCACGAGTGGCGCAAACCTAACTAACAATCGCAGAACGAAAGCGCAAATCCGAATGATCTCGACGAGGTCTTGGTACCCGAGACAGTGACACATGGTGGCGCCATGAACGTACCAATGTATTGCCTTTTTAGACATGCTGTCCTTGTCTGCGCGTGAACAGAGAGGCTTTTGCAAACGGCGCCTTCCCTTCCCCCCTTTACCCTCTTTCTCGCTCTCTCACTCTCTCTTTCTCTCTCTCTTTCTTTGTCTCTCTCTCGCCCCCTCTCTCTTTCTCATATCGAAAACACTATCAAGGTGTACGCGCGCGCGTTTGTGCGTATGTGTGCATATGTGTGTGTGTGTGTGCGCGCTCGCGTGTGGTGTGTGTGTGTGTGTGTGTGTGCGTGTGCGTGTGCGTGTGCGTGTGCGTGTGCGTGTGCGTGTGTATATGTCTGTTCGTGTGCGTGCGCGGGCGCATGTGCGTGTGCGTGTGCGCGAGCGTGTGTATATGTCTGTGCGTGTGCGTGTTCGGGCGCATGTGCGTGTGCGTGTGCGCGAGCGTGTGTATACATAAGGCTTCGTTGCTATGATTAGACGCGTATAATTCTCGATTATTTATCGTCGTTGCTTCACTATTTCGCAGGAGATCCTGTCATAGTCACCGTGAACATTCTCGTGCGCAGCATAAGCAAGATAGATGACGTCAACATGGTGAGTATACGTGTAAAGAAACACAAACACGCGTACACACACGCACGCGCGCACGCACGCACGCACGCACGCACGCACGCACGCACGCACGCACGCACGCACGCACGCACGCACGCACGCAGGCACGCAGGCACGCACGCACGCACGCACGCACGCACACACGAACGCACGCACGCACACACACACACACACACACACACACACACGCGCGCACACACACGCACACGCACATGGACGGACACGCGCACACGCACGCACACATAGATACAGAAGACAATATATATTATATATATAGCATCTAAATATAACGCGTTCGTCCCGACGCGCCGCGCTCTAAGTCAATTTATCTATCAATTTATCAATCTATCTATCTATCTATCTATCTATCTATCTATCTATCTATCTA